TTAAAAGCGCCAATGATCACCTTCAAATGCAGTTTGTACGTCTTGGAGACCATCCAGCCCAGGAATGCAAAACGCCTTCCGCTGGACATTAATAATGATAATGGGACTCTACCAAAAGGTAAGCAGTGTTTGTAAAAAGGCTTTGCAACCAGGTGAATAGACTAAATACCATTTGAAATAGACACAAATAATCCACAAGGTACGGATGAGTAAAGCTGAAGATATGTAGCAAAAGCAACCGTTGCTAAGCTGTGCAAGTGCAGTAGTTGCAGTAAATTTTAGCCCAGATCTCCATTTCACCTAAACAGAACTTCGTCATGACCACCCTTAAGCGTTTCGACCGTGGTAGTGACTTTTGCGACATTTGCTGTCTCAGCTACCTCTGCATTCGTGCACTTTGTAGCATTAGCGGACGTTATTTGAGGACTTGATCATTGGCAAGATGGAAGGAGATATCAAGGTCTGCCGACTCATATGAGGGTTAATTGGAAGATTTAGCTAAGCAAACTGCCTGGCGATATGCATTTCAGGCTCTGCTCCAAATGAATGAATTTGAAGATGAATAAATCCACAGAGATCAAAGGCACGGTGGGCAGAATGCTACTACGACTTGTAACAACGATTTAAGCCTAAATATATCTTTCAGATCGGAAAGAGAGAGAACAACATTTATAACTTGCTTCAGTGACAAGTTGAAGCAATTCAGCAGCCACGAGGCGAACATTTGCGTTGGCAGCCGAGGTGGCAGCAGGCTCTGAGGGGAGTGACAGGGAGAGGAGGAATGTGAGACAGATGAAGAGCAGGACGTCCAGGAGGCTAGGCATTCGAACGTTGACTATGCGCCCAATCTCGTCCATGGTTGAGTGGTGTGCGAAATCATCGCAACCTCCAGCCATTAGGCAACGGTAATGCCGCGCCAGGAGATCTGCTAGACCTTCGGGGAAAAAACGATAAAGCAGTGTGCTCACAGCACACTCTGAGAGTGATCCAGAAATACTTAGCATGACAATTGAAAAGCAATGGGCTAAGGCGGGGAGAGACCTTAGTGCTCGTATCAAAGAGTCGTGACCGTACTACCTCGGCAGAAAGCTGCCCTTAATGGGATATTTAATACAATACGCATAGGCTTTACAAGGGGCTCGTCGCAGCACTTTTGCCAGCTCTAGTTATTCTGCCAACAAACAAGGAACTCAGCTACTGCTAAACTACTTAGTCCCAGAGTCTTCGCTGATTTGCTATGAATTGCATTTATTAAAGAGTAAAGAAATATGCAGGAAACTAGAATGATTAACTGACGAGAAAGAGGTGGTTGACTCTTCTGGTAGCCTTTCCCTGCAAGAGCATTCCATATCATTCCCGATGATAGATTTGCATCCATTTACACAGCGCTCTTTCACAGAAGACAAAGATCATGAATGTCACTTACTTCACCATTTTCTATTTGGGATTCAAGAAAGGACCTTTTAAAGCCCATGTACTGACCACGAGGATTTAAAAAGAATAGTCAGGCAGAATCACTCAATCCAATTAATTAAATGCTTGAGTATGCTTTAAGAAGGAACTAAAAAGCAATTTCAAATCATGTCATTTCGCGAAAGCTTGATGGAGCAGGACATGTAAGTCGCTCACTCGTGCCAAAGAGAATCGGGAAGTCACAGGACGCAAACCGCGGCAACTCTCTAGCTCCAGACGCTGAATCTGATGGTCCTTTTGATGCCGTGGGTGATGCGGCCAGAGCCAGCACAAACAAAGCGCCGACGTCGCTCTTGAGAACTGCATACAATCTTGAAAGGGCGTAGATAACCTGTGAAGGTGAAACTTAGGGTTGAAGTAATAGAGTAAAGTGGGAAGAGTAAAAGACGAGTTAGGAAGAGGACATTGTGCACAAAGAAGAATGCCTGAAGTATTAAACAACGAGCCTAAGACAGAAATTGGCTTATTCCCTCCGATCTACGAAACTGTGCACACATGCGCGTTACTACAAGCCTATTTGGATAACATCAGTTCTACCAGATGTAGTTCTCGGCCATGGCAAAGTCTGAAGATTTGGTGCGCTTCCATGTGGCACGAAGCCAACTATTGCGGAACTGAAGAAGGTAGTTTCAAGGCAATAAACGTACCTTTGTAACCACAGCTATGTAAGTGAAGGGTAGAAGTACAATTGACCTAGCAGAAGTTGTGACAGGTGCTTTCTCTCTCAATGCACAGAGCAATTTGACACGGCAAAGTCAGGGGCATTAAGGCTACAATTCAGGTTTGTCACATCAGTTGTTCAAATACATTCTCATAATCAAGAGGTAAATTTTCGCAAACAGTAGGACCGAAAATGATTTAAGACCAAGGCCCTATACCAAGGGATAAAAAGCTATAGTTTTGCCATTGGATAAAGTAGTTTTAACAAGCAGTGGGAGAGAAACGCTTTTACGTAAACCAGACACTACCAATACAAATAGGGAGCTTCCATCGGCTCAAAAATAACTTCACCTATTTTAATCAAAAGTCATAAGTTTCACACTCATAGAGAAACCAAAAACTCCTATGAAATTTA